TCAAAGATTATGGCCAGGATTGCAAATGCAGCAACAAATCCGATAATTCCCACAATGTCCCTGTAGGTCAGAATCAAACTCAAAGAAGGAAGATGGTTAAAATAAAATCGAAAAAAAATCTAAAAACACATAATTTAACCTAATTAGATCAAATAAGAATTTTGGAAATTTTTTTGGATTTTTTTGAGACTGTGAAAACAGTAAAAAATTAATTAAAAAGAGGAATTGGCGATTCGAGGGGCCAACTCCTATAACTCTTTTAGAGTTAAGGACTTTTGATCGCACGATTTGTCTGCTTCAAGTTCATGAAACAGATCTCAAAAAGAAGGCGATTTGCCCAAAACCTGGTTTTTTTACTTGGTCTTACGAGAAACAGGACGGTCGGACGCGAAAACGCAAGAAAATACATAAAAATGCATAAAATTAAAACAAACAAAACCTAAAACTAGACTATTGGCTAAATCAACAAGAATCCCCGACAACGGCGCCAATTTGATTCGCTGTCGTGCGCGAATCAAAACGAGTAGTTTGAAAACGGTAGTTTAGCGACAATGACTCGAGTCGTATTGCAAGGATTCTTGTAGTGATTGACCAATAAAGTAACAGTTATGGGGGGTTTGGATTTTTTATTAAGAGAAAAAAAAACTAAAAATAAGTGATTATCAAAATAAGCTGAAACGGTTAATCTGCTGTTTTAGTTTCCCAACTTATCATCGATCCTAATAATTCCCAATTCCTAAGTGGATTCTATCCTCTTTTCGATTATAATAAAAATCAAACAAGCGCAGTTGATATTATACGAAACATATTCCTAATTTCCGAATTCAGCAAACGGATAAAATATAGTAACCGTGAATTAAGCAAACACGAGAAACATATGCGGATTAAGCAAACGCGATTAAAGTATAAGAACATGCAATCATCGAAATAAATCAATCATCTCTAAGATAATCCGAATTAAGCAAACAAGATATCATAAAGAAGAATTGAAAGGAAATAGATTTTATTGGAAGAATTGAAAGAACCTCAAAGTGTCGGCGGAAACCGATTATAGCATATTAACGTGAAGGAATTAGTTCTCCATAATTCGTACAAAGCTTCAACAATATTTTTCGTGAATAGTGTATGATTCAACAATAACATGAATTTCCCCTAAAAAGAAAAACAAGTTCATAACCCAACTGGGTCGAAAACATCACCCAGACCCAAAACATGACCCAAAACTAAAACAAATTCCTAGTGTTGTAACTTCAACGAATATTCTAGGAAAATATGCTCCAAATCTGACTTCGACTCCAACATAAAAGTCGTAGCTCTCTCACTTAACTTTCCGGAGATTTTTAGAACGCCTCAAACGGATTCCCGGAACTCCAGTTATGATCGTTTATGTGCATACTACTAAAGCTGAAAAATAAAGTGCGAAATTCAAATTAAACCAAAAATAAAATAAAATATAAAAACATAATAAAACATAAGAATAATCAAAATAAAGTAGAGAAATGCCTAATTAAAAATATAGGAGAATGTGCATAAAGATGCACTGATCAAGTATAAACAAACTCAAGTGCACTATAATAAGTGTCATTCCATCACTGATCACATCAAGCCATGCGTCATAAAGGAGCAGAAAACATTTCAATGATGGGAAGGCATTTAATGCACTTGTTTCCAACTACTTTTGCAACTGAATCTAAGAGTTTTCACGTCAGTCTCAAAGCAAATGACCTCTTCAGAGGTCGACCGCGACTGCTAAGACTTCACTGGCTCATCACCTCCTGATAAACCTTGAGGGAACAACTTTGGGCTCTCCAAAGGCCCGAAAAGCTAGGGCTCAAACTAATCCACTCCAAATGACCCAATGTATAAAAGTCATCACATAATATATTCAAGTTACACTTTCTGATCTCCACTTTTACTACACTCATCTTAAATTCTAAACTGACTTGGACATTAGAGATCTAACCTTGCAGGTTCACTCGCCATCGTCGTACCGGAGATCAGCATCACCAATTCAGGATTCCTTATTATCAACGTACATCTAACACAATGTATAAAAAATAAAGTGATGGAAAAATAAATAGATAAAGGATAGAGAACATGCACCAAAGATTTATATATGTTTTACCTAACCATTGGCGCACTATTGTCCCCTAGAGTTTCCTCTTGAGATTTTCATTAAATAGAGACTAAAGTTTTCAAAGGCTATCCCCCACGGAACTTCTTGCATATGAACAAGATATTTTTCATATGTCAATCTTCAAGTCAAACAAGAAATATTACACTAGTTAATCTCTAAATCAAACAAAAAAATTTACACGGGGTAATCTCCAAACCAAACAAGAATTTTTAACATACTGAGCTCAATTACCAAACAGAGATATTAACATTAGACAAGCTCAAGAATCAAACAGGGATATTAACAGTGGACAAGCTCAAGAATCAAACAAATCGTTTAACACTAGAGAAGCTTAAGAACCAAATAGAGCTTTTAACACTGGATAAACTCAAGAACCAAACAAAGTTTTTAACAGAAGACAAGCTCAATAACCTGTTGAGAAACAAGTGTGAGTTCTATGTCCCACATTACTTAAAAAGTGGAGGTTGAGCACTTTATAAGTGAGAGGATCCATACACATATCACCTTAAGATTTTGGATGAATATGTGATGTCTCTCTTACTTGTATGAGCGAGTCTTTGACTTTTAGGTGAGTGTTTAACCTAATGTGAATGCTTCCCCCTCATGATGATCCATCAGAGAAAGAAAAATTGACGTGAGACTTGGATGAATATACTATTTAACCCAACATAACCTACAACAAAGATTTTATACGGGATTGGCTTGCAACCTTTAAAAATTAATTCCGCCAGAGAATCACACTCTTGGATAAAAAAATTAAGCACAATATTAATTTACAATAAATCTCTTCATAAGAGTTTTTCTATCTTTTGAAACTACGACAATCTTCATGAAAAGAAAAAAAAACAAAAACATAGAGAGTATAAGGGAAATATAAGGTTTTATGATCATAATTTCAATGCAAAATTAAATGAGAAAACAACTTTATATAGGAATATTTTTGGTTCAATATGGAAATAATCCACTGCCCATTTTAATTATTTAATCTATTAGCCCTAAAAAAATTAATTCAAAAAAGAAAACCTTAAAATGATATGTACTGATCGATCCAGAGATCATTTATCTTTCTCTAATTGATTGGACTAAGTCTTTAAGAAATTAGACAGTGTAAAGACTTTTTTAATTGATTAGAAAAACTTCTAAGCAAATTTTACATAACCATGGATAGGTTATCAAGAGATTTTATAAAAGGATGTGGTTTTTAAAAGCTTTTCTGCTTGCGTGTGTGATTTCCATAGTATGTTAAACTTATTCTTGACATTATATATTTTAATTGACCACTTTAATAATCATTTTAATACACGAAGCACATGATCAGGTGAGTTTTCAAACTTCTACAACTTCAAGTATTCGATTTCCTTTGCTTGATAAGTATATGATTTAACATTTCAACTTAAACTTGAATTTTTTGACTACTGAAAGTTGTGATATTTTCATAATTATTTGTCATCATCAGATTCTTTACTTTGACGGTTGAAATTAATTCCCTTATCACAGATAACTCTCAACATCCATAAACTATTTGACATATAGAGTTATTATTTTGAAGGTTGCGTCTTCATCAATTGTTCTCATCAAAACCTAAATTATGGTGTACCTGCACAAACATTATATCAACAGAACAAGCAAAGTTTATATGAAGAATATGAAGGAAGTAGAATTCATTATTTATCATCGAAGTGAGTTTTCTTATGCTTAAATATTAGTTAGGTTTAGATATTATTATCAAGACATGTATTTCATTAGAATTAAAATTGATTAACTTAATAATTAGAATTGTTAAACATAAAATAAATAATATTATAATAAAGAAAAGTTGGAGTAGTGTTTAATGGAACACGTTTTAAAATTTTTGATAGATTATATGGATATTTATAAAATATAAATGGGTTATTTAAATTATTAAAAAATGTGAAGTAATATAAAAATTTAATGAAGTCTATTTAATGAATTCAAATAGTTTTTTTTTGGGATGTAGGTGTTCTAAGATTGTGAAAGCGCAAGGGCAAATTTAAGAATGATGTGATGGAGAGAAAAGAATGAATGGAAAAGACCAAATTTTACTATTAGTCAATTGAGGATTAATTAAAATAAATTAACACATTTATTCATTGGGAATAGACAACATGGTGAAGACCAAATGAAAAACAATGTGCAGTGTAGTTAGGAATAAGTAAGAATAGAAGAAAGAGAAAGAAATTTGTTGGAACCCTAAAAAAATAGTGACACGTTAGTAAAAGTAATGAGGTGTTAAAAAGAATAGAGAATACCTTCTTGAAAAAATCATTTGGCAATTCTACATGCCTCTGCTAAGTTCAAAGAGACATAGAAAATAATGCATAATGTTATTGCATCAAATTCACTTTAATAGAGATATTTTTCATTGATAAACAATTTTTTTATATATAACATCTACTTTTTTTTTTTTAAATGCCACATGTATTCTTTAATTTACGAGTTTAAAATTATTAAATATTTTGAAATCAAATGTTGAGTCATATAGAAGCATGAATGCAAATTTAGAATCTTCTCTATATAAAAATATATAGTTTCCACAAAAACAGACAAAAAAACCTCACACACATTTATCATCATCTCCTATGATATTCTAGGAGATGGTATATATATGCTTCCAACATCAAGGAATGTTATGTTCACTGCATTGCATCTGCTGGTTTGTCTTCAAATCAACATCAATAATACATATCTATACAAATTGCCATCAACAAATTGTCATAAAATAATGAGATTCTGTAACATGGATATATGAAATAGATAACTGCTAATATTTTAACCATCATATTTTGAACATAACCAAAAGGGTACACTTCTTTGACGATTCCATTCTCCCAGCAAATTTAAATTATAGAGGTTCTGCTATGCCGGTGCTACTTACACCCTCCATAATGGCAAATCTCATATCTTCAGATGGTTTCCAGTGTCTTTTCCTCTGATTGATGAACCAGTTATTTATCTGCTTTATATCTAGTCCAGTTGTTTCTGATAGCTGCATTTTCTCCTCCTCCTGAAAAAATCATAAGTTATAATCTATCCGAATTTTCAAAATTTGAATGTTATGTCCAATGAGAACAGAAGTTTGACACAATGGCATGGTCGTCTCTGAAGGCGTGTAAGGCAGACTGCCGCACAGGCTCAATGGTTTAAGTTGTTATCATGTAACTTGGAAAACAAGTCAACCTTTTAGCAAGTGTTCCGAGATGCGCTTATTTAGTACAAAGTGTTGTCAAATAACCGTTACAACGGCCGTGTAAATTTCGAATTAATTACCGTGGGATAAGGCCACCTATAGTGGATGTTCCACCAATCCAGCAATGCTATTCTTGCATCCTTTGGTAGTTTACCCTTTTTCCTTTTCTTAAGAAATTCCTTTCTCAAGTTACTAAGATAACCTCCATATTTACGAAGGAGCATTTGTTTAAGCTCTTTGTCACCTGGACATGATGTGCCACAATGTTCATGAACACCTTCAACTGCTTCAACCTTTCCACAGCTCATTTCATCCTCCGATGTTCCTGCAGCTTCATCTAACAAAATAAAATAAAATACTAAGCATTCAACTTATTTTCATAACACAAAAAATCAAACAGTTTCAGGCTTTTTAAAAATTTTGGTATCCGACCTTACGACTAAGCAAAGTTATGTAAGGACATAGCCTAACACAAAAATTCAAACCTGAGACCGCGAGAAGAGCACATTCTCAGGACCCAACACAACTAGTCTAGTATACATACATACGGAACAAACTGAGAATTTTAAGGATAGAAGTATTGAAACATGGTGTAGTGCTATAATCATTATAATTGGAAGTATATATAGGACACCATAGACCAATTATTATATAGATAATGAGTCAGCCCTATACTTTCTATATCTTCAATTTTTGTTGTGCAAATATTAAAATGGTCCCCCACTCTAACATTTTTCTTATTTATAGTGAGGATTTATTCCAACATCTTGCTTTAGCTTTCACGTACATGAAGTAAAATGTTGCTGACTGTCTCTTTCATAGAACGTAGTACTACTTAATTAAGAAACAACACATGAAATTTCAAGTATATGACAAAGTATTAATGTCACCATGCATGCAACTCAGCCAAAACTTTTCTGTTTCATTATTACTTGAGTTGGGACTCCAGAAACCATTGTTTTGTGGAAATTCAAAACTATTAACAGCAGGCCAGAGGATACAGGGCTGATAGAAATCCCTGATCCGTTGTTAAAATTTATATGTGTGTATAGATATGATATATATAAATTCGCTGAAAATAAACAACAATATAATAAGTATATGTAGAACTTTTAGAAAGAGATATTTTTAGACTCAAATCTCAATAGATCGGGATTCGTGAACCAATGTTAATATGTTTTTTTTCACTTTTACAATTGTGAATTGTCTATAATGTTTTGTTTTGTTTTCTTAGGAGAATTTATTTCTTATTTTTGTAAAGAAAAAAATAGTTACATAAAGTATGGTATATAATAGAACAAGTCTTGGTCAAACCATAACAAACATTTAAATTTTGTTTAGGGGTTTAGAATGGAAGGGAGGAGAGAATTTAAAAAGTTTGGAAAGTTTAGTTTTATTCATAATCCTCTAATTTGGAGAATTTTAATTTTGTACTACACAAGAGTTTTAGAGGATTTACATAAATTCTTTAAATATATTTTATATTGTTATAATATTTTAAAAATTAAAAATATAATAATAATAATAATAATAATAATAATAATAATAATAATAATAATAATAAATATTTAATTAAAAATATAATAATAATGTTATAGTTTATCATTTTATTTTAAAGTACAACTTCAAAATATATTGAATAATTTTTATAACAAATCTTGTCTTCTAAAATCCTCTTTTCCTCCTCTTCCAAACTCTCAAATAAAACCTTGATAGAATATTTGTGTGAATTCTCGAAACATGTATTCATAGTATAATTTTGCAGTTTTCATTATTATTATTTATTTATTTATGGTTTTTTCTATTCATTTGTTACTGTAATACGGTAACTTCACCTTTATTTGTGTAAGAACTATAAGTTACAAGTACATAAGAAGTATATTTGTATAAGAAATAAAATTATTAGTGTTTGAGTATAACAATTACAAATTCTCAATCAAAATTGGTGACATTAAATATTTATATATATGTACAACCTAATATTTTCATATAGTCCAGCTCCAGGTTAAAGAAGTATTAAAAACAAAATCATCTCCCTCTATTAATGAACAGAATTATTAGAGGGCCATTCATTCATGTTATGAAAAACAAAAAAGAAAAGGGCCATTCAAAGTTGAGGGCCATTCATGTTCATCACTATTTCAACTAAAAAACAAAATATTAGATAACTTTAAATATCCAGATATTATTTACGAAATCCAAAAAATAAAAAATAAAAAAAGTTTCTCTTTACCTGAACGGCTGTTATTAAAATCAGATGAGATTGTTAATGTCCCTTTGCAAAGTTGGCTCAGTTGCGATTCAATATTACACAAAAACAAACTCGCTTCATTCAAGTGTTTCGATAACTCCTCTTTGTATCTATGAAGAACTTCACAGTATGATTCCTATAAAAAAATAAAATTAATAATAATAAAAATTGAGATTAAAAACAAATTAATTAATACCATGAATTGATCAAGGTCAGGATCATCTCCTATCTGACGGAGAACATTGCTGTGGTGGCTTTCACGGCCTATTTCTTCGAGAAGAGACGCAAGTTCAGCGGGTGCTCCAACCTTGAAATCAATGAAACACGGTATGTAGTAGGATGATGAATGGAAGAAGATAGAATGAATAAGTAGTAAGTAACAAACCTTTTGGCATTCTATGAAAGCAGATAGTAGATTTGGATAAAGAGGATGAGTTGCGATCTGGTTCTTGATAATCCGATCCGATATATCCGACCCGATTAGATCTGGTTGATGGTGTTCCATGTGGAGGTAGTTGTTATTAGTAACGGCGCGAGCGCGAACGAGTCCTAGATGCAATTCTGAGGTGGTTGCATCAGTATAAGTAGAAACGTTGACGTTGCGTGGAGAAGATACAAAAGGGAGATTCATCTTGTTGATATTGTAAATATCTTCCATAAGTATTGAGAGGTTGTTTATTAAGTTGTCGGAAAATTCTTCAAAGTTCTTGAAAGTTAGTAGTTGGTATTCAATTATAGTTACATGATAGGTTTATTTGAAGGCGTGGAGTATGATAAAAACGCTGACTCTTGTAGTGAGAGGAAAGAAACTTGGTAAAAACAAAGTTCTTTTCCAAGAAAACCTGGGGAAAATGAAGAGGAAATGTAGAGAGAGAAATGGTTTGTGAGCGTGTGATATGTCGATGGAAGTAGTGGAAAAGAAGAGACCAAAACAGTGAGAAGGATTTGACAAGGTTAAGGTGATTAATAATGTAGGCCGTACTTTGTAGGTCTCACTACTCAATTACTACTGCACACGTAACTATATTCGATGTCATACTTATAAACGGGGTCCACGTATATCTCTGCAAATTATCAATATCAATTTCATGCTGTAAACTAAGAGTTTGTTTGTTTGGTTTCACTAGTAAAAAGAAAGATAGGTTAATCTATTTATTGTTGTTATAAGTAATTAACTATGTGAGTTTAGCTTAATTAGCTTATCCACCCATCTAAATTACTTCCTTTACTAGATTGGATAAATATAATATAATTTTATTTAAATAGTTTTAAGATATTAATAAAAATGTTGTTTTTGCTTGAATATAAATTAAAAATAATTTTCAACCAAAAACTAATATTTATATTGAAAACTTTTCTAAATTATAAATCATTATATTATTTTTATTGAATTTTATTAATTAAATTTATCAATTAATGGTGACTAGTATAATACCTTCAATAATTATATTTTGTTGTGTTATATTTGTAAAAGACTTAGTAAAGGCGGGAGGACGGTAGCATTCGGAAGGAGCAAGGATCATATGTCATCCCTTGATATCTCTTGATGGGAAACGTCTCACCCTAAAGTGTCTCTAACTCAGATAGTTATGGAAATTGTGGAGTAACACATTTCTTGGGCAGAGAGGAGTCAGAGTCTATAGTTGATCCACATCCTCTTAAAAAGTAGGGATTCAACCGTCTACTACTTTGACTAAGTCAACGATTAATGACATACCATAACTCAACCAACATTATGCATATCACATAGTCTCTCATCTCACGTGAGTTGGCCTCTCATACCTCCATAAACGTCGTTAACACCATCGTACAAGGACTCTCGCCGCCATAGACAAGCCTTAATTATTATAAACATACTAAGGCCTCTGAGTATCACATACCCTTGTGTCGCAGCGGGAAAAAAATTGAGATTAAGTTATTGATTAACTTAACTCAGAAAAGTAAGAGTCGCCACTGAACTTTATTGTTTTCAAAGAGAATGGGAAAAAAGAGAATAAAACCCACAGAAGTTTTAAAACAAAACTAGTAAAACAAAGAGATAAGGGTACATGAGTTGGTTATGTGAAGGGAAGGTGTTAGCACCCCCTCACATCTATATTACTCTATAGGAACCTCTTGAAAATCCGTATTTGGCTTTAAAAAAAGGGTGTTGTTTGCAAAAGATTTGGAAGATGAGAGAAAAAAATGTTTTTTTTAGATTTTTGTTTGACAATACTTCTTGAGCCTCGTGCCTACATACTAACAAAGTGCAACGGATGATCAAAACCTCGTAGTTCATGGTAACAATAACAAAAGTGTTTGTTTTGATTTATTTTAAATGAATAGACATTTCATCATATTCGAGTGGAAAATTCAACTTACTACCTTCAATTAAAGAGGAATGAGCATATGCATCATCTTGAGACGGAGGATTTTTACTTAGATTGAAATCAACAAGTCTATCACTCAACATCTAAGTGGAAAATGTCATCACTTATCTACATTATTGTAGAAGTATAGGAGTTGCACTACAAGAACACAACTAATGACTATCCTTAAGAAAAGGTTTAAAAGGAAAAGGTGCACAAAGACACAAAAGGTTTGAATGAGTCTTGTGTTTTTTATGTCTTTTTAAATTGTTTTGATATGCTTAAAATGTCTTAGTATTTACTTAAGAAAAAGGTTTTGAAAATCACTTGACAAAGTCAAGGTTGATTGAGAAAGTGGTTCAAGTTTGAAAACAAGAAGGTTTTGAAAAAAGGAAGAATATTTTGAAAATTAAAGAAGGGGAGGAGATGAAGAGATTATTCTAATTGCATAAAGTAAGTAGCAAGAAATAAATGGTTTCATTATAAGGTAGCCCAAGAGGAAGTCAAGTGTGTGCATTTTGAACTAACCAGGATATAACAAGCATCTGGCATAAGTCAAGCAAACATTTTCTTCCTTTGGAGTAAGCCACAAGAAACAAGTAAGCACAAAATAAGACAATCATCAGATGAAAGAAGGACTTAAACTATAAGGTCAAAGCTATGTATCAGAGTCAAGTCTTCAAAATTCGACCAAAAGTCTCAAGTATCAGATGAATGAACAAAGGTCTCAGAACAATCTGTTAGAACAAGATTTGTTCTTGATATTTCCTTTTTTAGTTTTGATGATAACAAAAGTATTAAAAGAACAATGGTTTATTTGATGTTTGTTTTTTTTTATGCAGGTTCTTGTTCATATACATAAATAATCAGAATATGTTTACTTAAGATACACTTGAAGTTGCTCCATTACTAGCTTCTGGTGGCAGAGTCTGAAGAACAATTTCTAGTGTGGTTTGACGAAGACACTGAGCTGAAGGCCTCAGTACTCAGACGAGTTTCTACACTTAGTAATTGTATATCATCTTCTGATACCATTCAGAGTTAGTGATAAAGTTGTGGACTATCCATACTACTGAAAGCATGTTGTGTTATTTTATCAGCCTATCAGCTCGAGTCTAAAAGATTGTAAGACTCAAGAAAAGCTGGTACGTTCTATGGATGTCTGCTCCCAACAGCTCTATTAGTACAAAACCTCTTGAAGACTCAAAGGTTAAATGTGCTACATAAAGGATTCAGAAATCTGTTGTGCATCCATCTTCAACGTCTCTTGTACTATAGAGTAAAAGCAAAGACACTTGATCAAGTCACCTTCTCAACGGCTAGTTTTTGGAAAGGCTATATATATGGTTGAAGATTCAAGCCTGGATTTTTAACAAGGATTCTTCTGTTGAAGGAGTAGCAAGATCAAGCAATTTTCAACTCTATGTATTAGGAAAATTTTCTTTTGTAGGTTGTAATTCTAAAAGCCTTAAGATTTCTTACCCCTGTATATATTTAGAAATCTTAAGTGCTTTAGGTCTTTGTTATGGTGATCTCCCGTACTTATGATGCTCGCATCATGTACACCTTTTTCTCTATTCTGCTAAGCTTCTAGTAGTTTAGATTATGTCTCTTGCTATGTGCTAGAGAGAAAATTCTTGTCTCATTGGGATTCAACCAACAAGTCTTGAGTCAAAATGCTTAAGCCACGTAAGTCTCATTGCTTAACTACTTGAGAAGTGAAAGTCTTATTCATCTAGTCTAATTGAGCAAAAATAAATTCTTAGACATGTGCTCTAAGAAAAGGTAAGTCTCAGCCTGAAGACGGATGAGCAGATGGCTCAGTCAGATGGTGTGAGCAAAATAAAGTTTTATACATATGCTCTATGCAAAGGAAAGTTTCACCCAGAAGACAGATGAGCAGGTGGCTCAATCAGATTATGTGAGAAAGAGTAAGTCTTAGGCATGTTCTCTAAGCAAAGGGAAGTCTCAACCAGTGAGCAGATGACCAGGCGGCTCAGTCTGATGGTGTGAGTAAGGGTAAGTCTTAGACATGCACTCTAATCAAGAGAAGTCTCAAATAGTTGGTATGAGCAATTGTAAAAGCCTTATGCAGAAGAATAAGCGATTGTAATCATGAAATGGTTATAATGAAAAGATCTTGTGAGGCAATGGGATTGGACTACTCTTAGTTAGGGGAGGAACCAATATAAATCTTTTGTGTCTTCTGCTGTTATTTTATTTACTTCTGGTGTATCCACTGCCAACTGAATTAACTCAGAATCTGAACATCAGTTCTGATTCTGAGACTCTGATCAGAAGATAAATAATAAGAAAAACACGAAAACATAATTCAACTCTCCCTTCTTGTGTACTTTTCACACCATATCCAAATGGGTGTGGTGCAGATATTAATCCAATAAGAAAAGTATATTTCTTCTTCAAGAAGGAATCAAGTGCCAAATGAAAAATATCATACGGCTTTTCCTACCATATTCAAATGGGTGATTCTATTGAATTTAAATGATGGAAAAGGTAAACATATTTTTAACTCACTGAACTTGATAAAGGGTTGTTGAAGGTCTATAGAATATCCTTGAAAAAGGTATTACTATAGAAGTTGATGGTGTTAGAGATGATCTTCTTGAAAATCTCTTTCACCAACTCAGAAGATGCATATTGAATATCTTCAGAGATAGTTGCATTATGGTAGATGCACTATCTCACTTATAAGCATATCAACATCATTGATATGTCTGATACTTATACTATCTTTGAAGTCTTGTGCTTGGGTTTGTGGGGATCAGTTTGTGAAGCTTGAAGTAGTTACACGCCATCTAATCTTTTCAAGAAAATTCTGAGAGGACCGGTTCTTAACTTAAATCTAAAGTCACCGTTTTTTTTTGTTTACATCCTGAATCTGCTGTGGTCTGAAGATATGTCTTGTAGTCTTTAAAGAAAATAAATGAAGTTGGATGATGAAAAACTATTCAATTGATCATCTTCTCTTCTTTAGCTTAAGTTCTTTGGAATAACTAATGATGAGGAACTTAGGTTTCTTGTCAGAAGGACTTTCATACTGGATAAATGGGTTGTGATATCTGTTGATAGATGAGTAACTTCAAGAGCTTCTGAAATATGTGTATTTCAACTGATTTCCCAAATCTGAAAGCAAGAAGAAAATTCTACCAAAATCTAATATCTGATGCTCTTCAATGCTTAATCGTTTAAAACTGATATTAGTGTAGGATGCAGATGAAAAGAAGCATATGTGTTTTAAAATAAAAAATCAAGTCTTGAAAAGCAATAGATGTTGTTAAAGTTATCTTAT